GGGCCCCGGGGGAACTCCACCCCCTACCGGAGGGTGTCCCCAGCGTGATGATGTCACCCGGAGGTGACATCATCACTCTGGCCACGTTGTGGGGAGGACACTCTGTGAATCGAGGGAAAACTCTATGGTTTTCCCTCGAGTCACAGTGCCCCACCCCCAATCTAGGCGATGCGATGACATCACTTCCGGTGATGTCATCATGGCACGCGCATGCCAGGAATCTCTTCGCTTTCAAGGCTAAGTTGACTTGGCAACCCTACCCCAGCACCAAGAATACAGTGCATCACTTGCCCCAGCCTGAGAGTTCCTATCTATACCTTGTGGCTAATAGCCACTGATGGACTTCTGCTCCATATGCTTATCTAATTCCCTCTTGAAACTGTCCATGCTTGTATCCGCCACCACCTCCTATGGCAGTGAATTTCATGTTTTAATCACTGTAAGAGTGCACTGTGTGGGTAGATTGAGGCCAAGAGAAGCACTCCAACAAGTATTGTGGTCCCAAGCCATAAAGGGTTTTATAGATTACTAGAAATAAGGCCTGCTGCAGAAATAAATACAACGGCACAAGAAAGAGGCTCTTGGAGAGTTCCAAGGCCTTGGGCATTCGGTATCAATTTGCTGTGGTGACCTGCTTAAACCCCATCAGGCTCCACCCCTGAAATCCCAAGAAATTTCCCATCCTGGAGTTGGCAACCCATCCCCTTCCCAGCTAACCATCAACCTACCATTATTTTCCCCTCTGACTCCAGCTGACTTCTGCCCTACCTCCTGGAGATGAGTTGTAATTCTGAGTGATCTCCACGCCTCACCTGGAGATTGGCAACAATGTTTCCCCAGGAGAAAATGGCTGGTTTGGAGCTGGTCTATGGCATTGTACCTGTCTGAGGCCCCACCCCTCCTCAAGCCTCACCCTCTCTAGGCTCCACCCCTCAAATCTCCACGAATTTCCCAACCTGGAGGTGGCAACCCTATCTCCTGCCCTGCCAAGCATCAACCTACCATTATCTGCCCCTCTGACTTCAGCTTTGCATCTCATCCCCCCTCCCTCTTGGAGATCAGTTGTAATTCTGAGTGATCTCTACACCCACCTGGAGATTGGCAACAGTGGTTCCCCAGGAGGGAATGGCTGGTTAGGAGGATGGTGTCTATGGCATTGTATCTGTCTGAGGTGCCACCCCTACTCAAACCCCACCCTCTTCAGGTTCCATCCCTCAAATCTCCATGAATTTTCCGCCTGGAGTTGGCAACCCTATCTCCTTCCCAGCCAATCATCAACCTACCTTTATTTCCTCCTCACTCTTCAGCTTTCCTCCCCCCCCCCGCACATGCAGTCTCTACTGTGCTCTGAAGCCCTGACTGTCACATCACATTAGCTATAATGAGAAGGGGCATCTCACCAGGGTATAAGGACACAGAGTCCACCATTTTCTCCAAGGAAACTGATCTCTGCCATCTGGAGAGCAGTTGTAATTCTGAGTGATCTCCAGCCCTCACCTGGAGATTGGCAATGATAGTTTCCCAGAAGGAAAATTAGTCTTTCTCTGCAATGCGGAGCAAAGCAGCTTACATCATTCTCCTCTCCCCCTTTTGACTTGCACAACAACCCTGTGATGTAGGTTAGGCTGAAAGTCTGTTTCTGGTCCAAAATCACCCACTCAGCTTCTACAGCAAGAACCTGGATCTAGCAGAATCTGCTCTGAAGCACTGACTGCTATGCCTAGGGTAGCCAACCTCCAGGT